TTTGAATTTCTAACTCTTTTAATATTAATATTCTTTGCAAAAAAGATTAATTTTATGAGTCTTATGTATTCTAATATTTTTTTAAAGTAAGCTATTAGTTCATAATAAAAATAAAATAAGGTTTCTTTAACTGTCACTAATTATTTAAAGCGATAATTAAAAGAAGTACAAACACGCGGATGAGAAGATATAGACATGAACATCTTGATTTTAGTGGTTATATAAAATTGATTATATTTATGGTGAAAATATTAAAATAAAAGTGATCATTTAAAATTGTAAAATGAGAAACAAACATTTTCTATATATTTTTAATAGGAAAAGAAACATCATATTAGGAATTACAACAAAATAAATAAATCCGTGTGAGTTTGACTATTTTTTATTTGTTGTAAAGTAAAAATTTATTTTCACCTTTATCTTTATTCTTATGTTAACAGAAACGAAAATTTGTCTTATCGAAAATTAGATATATTTATATCTAATGTAAAAATAAAAACACATTTTCTTTTCTCTCATAATTACAAAAAAATAATAATTAGATGAGTGCTTTAGGAATAATTTATGAAATTAATTACAAATGAATACAAGTTTGTTACATTTAAAAAAAATTAAAGGTATTTTTCAGTAATTTAAATCTGAAATAGTGAATATAAGAACAAAATTAAGTATGAGAATGGATATGTAACCATCCACATAGGTATTAAGTCAAAACAAGAAATTTTTGTTAAAATCAGAACAAATTTATAAAATATTAATCAAAATAAATTCATTTATCATCACTTACCTACATTTATTTTATCCTTATTTCTTCAATCAAACTAAGAAAATTTTATAACTTATTCCAAAAGAAAAACAAAATTACATCCTAACAAAATAATTATTACATTACTTTTGAAAATAGGGAGAAAATATTGGAAAAAGAATAAGTGTAGTATTTTACTTCTATATGTTGTGCTATTTCTATTTGATAAATTCTCTGATCTTTTTCTTTTTTTTATTGTATGGTATTTGTTTTAAATAACATTGTTAATGTTATATCTACATATTTCAGTAATATGTTTTGAATAACATTGTTAATGTTATTCTATCTACATATTTCAGTAATGTTGATATAACAAATAATTTTGATAACTATATGTATTACACAATTTAACTTTCAATTACCGTTTATCTTTTAATTTGAAAATTTTGTCCAAAAAGTTGTTGTAATTTCCATTTTTTTATAAGCGTGAAGTTTTCTGTTTTTGTTTTGGGCTATTTCATGGTCCTTTGTTTATCTCAGCGGGAACAAAATATTATAACAGTCAATCACACACACGAACATCATCATTTTTTTTATCCTATAATATAAGAACATTCTCTCTTTTATATATATATATATATATATATATATATATATTTTTTTTTTTTTTTTCCAATTTTGCATCTTATAATTTTTTTATAAAAACAATTCATAACTTATATAAAACACAATTTATTTTTTTTATCATTTTATTTATATAAAAAAGCACATAATATGTACTTTTTCAATGAGAAAGATATTTATCTAACATATTTAATGTATGGTTTATGTTAATCGGTGACTATGACTTCTTATATAATGGGTTGTAAAATGTAAATCTTTCAACATTATAGAGACTTAATAAATTTCCAATTTTATAAAGAGTAGAGTAGTAAATAATTACTTAATGGAAAAAAAAATACAGGAATCAATAATAAAAACTCAAGCAAAACCAAATTATTATTTAACCGAAATAAAAATTATTAATCATTATTATAATACATAAACACATCAAAACCTAGTACATTTACTTTTACAAGGAGAGTTTCATATTTTTTTCCCATTCTCATTGTTACTTCAAATGGACATTAATTCCCCGAAGTTCAAACTTAAGCAATTACATAGAACAAGAATAAGAAAGAAAGTGACAAAAACTCATAAAGAAAGTGAAAATCAAAAACTAAATTTGAAGTAAGGAATGTTTCAATAAACTTGTTCGTAAAACCTATCTCTTAAAATGAAATTATAAAATAAAATAACTTTTTAATACATTAAAATTAATTTATATATAAGTAAATTTGTGAAAGCTTTTTATATTAAAATATTTAAATTTGAGTATAAATTAGTTTTATCTTATGAACAAAATCACTTCACTTTCTTCAGTTTTTTTTTTCTTCTAAAAATGTTCATAGCGAAGTTTGTTCAAATATATCAGTCACGTTATTAACGAATAATTCAATATTTTAAGTGTGCGATTAAAAGTATGATAAAAAATTGTCATGACATAAAATAATTATTAATTTAAATCAATTTAGGGATACTAATATTTTATTACTTATTTCTTAGACTGAATATATATTAAAATATCATTAACTGTTTTAGTCAAGAATTGTCTTCTCTCTCTCATTAAATTCTTATCACAAAAACAAATAATTCAAATGTAATGATATATATTTTATAAGACCCATGTGCTAACCCTACTTTAGTATTTAATCCGTCGTCGTTTCTAATTTGATAAGTTTAAAAGATGTTGAATTGGTGGACACGTGTTCCCACTTTTCTAATGCTAATTAAGAATCAAATTGTTGTGCCAAAAAAAAAAAACAAATGAAGAATCACGTTTAGTCCTGCCCAATTAATAAAATAATTTATTCATATAGTGTAATATTTGTTTGTAAAATGTGATTAACTATTAATAAATTATATTAACTATCGTCTATATGAATACTTTATTATAACATATTACTTACTTTTATAAAGAGTAAATTTTTATCATACACTAAGAGTGATTTTTAAAATAGTAATGAATAAAAATTATTGTAATAATTTGGCTAACTTTTAGAATAATTATTTTAAACATATTTCTACCGTTTTTATTCATAGACATTGCAAAACTATTTCTACATTGTCTGCCTATAATAATTTATCTCAAAAATTAAATGATTATAAAAATTAATTTATCAATATAATAATTTATTTCAAAAACACATGAAAAACTTTATAATACACATATTTATAAAAATATAAACACTAACGTTATCATCTTCTAAAATTCTAAGAAATTATTTATTGATTCAAAGAAATCATAAAATAGTCATGTAAAATAACTTTTATCCAAATCTTTCATAAACTCTCCATCTAAACATTATTTAAAACATAAATTATTATATAAACTTAACATAAATAAATATTTCACTCCTAAAAAAGTTGAGAAACTAATCATATATGTAAACCAAAATAACCTCTAATTATATAATTAGTATTTATTTAGACTCAATTAATAGATAAAACTTATCGTATTATATACTTAAATAAAACTATTTTATCTCTAGTTTAAATACCAAAAAGTTTTTACATAAAAATCGAAGATATTACTCATGTTTTTTTTTCTTTGTTTTATTTTAAAGTATAGTAATTAGATATCCCAACATTTAATTTTTTAAATTATTTTATATTGTATACTTTTATTTTTTAATTTATAAAGAGGTTGCTGTATGTCAAAATTGGTCTATTTGACATATATACCAAATTTCGCAGCAAGGTATTAATATACCAAATTTCACTTAGGTTGTTGAAAGGTAATTAGATGTTACTTCCTTTATTTTATTTTAGGTGTAATTTAAGTTTTTTTAATAATATATTAAATTAATGGTTTTTTCACATCTGCTAAGGTAGTAATTATAATTATTTTAGTAATATCTTAAATAAATTCTTATATCGATAGAGTTTTTTATTAATTACAAATAAACTACAAAAAAATTATTTAATAATCACAAAATATTATTATAAACTTAAAATTTAACTTGAAAAAATAATTATAAAAAATAACATCTCATTTACCTCAACATACTTCTTAGATTTTTAGTATAAAATCAGTTATGGTACTACTGTTGATTTTTTTTTCTTCTTTCCAGAATTCAACTCAAAATAAAAAAACTATATCTTTACGAGTCTTTATTTATTCTTGACTCAAATTTTTGTATTTCTATATAATAATTTTTTTTACATTTCATAGTTAAATTTATCTTAAAAATATAATGTAAAATGTAAGATATCATACTAAGTGGTGCAGATTTTAATTTTTGGTAGGTAGTATATGATCGAGAACTATTAACTTCTAATGCAAAAACGTTATGCTTCAATATGAACATTCTGCTTTTAAATAATGTCTTAGGAAGATTTCTTTATTAACAGATAAAAACGATCTCACGAGAAATTAAATACTACAGCCCAAACTCTATTTTTAGAAGTAGAAAATAATAAAGAAAACCACAAAATTAATAAAAAAGTTACAAAGTCCCCTAATTGAAAAGTTACTTGTTGAGTCTAACTTATTCATATGATTGTGTAACTTTCTTTTAATTTGTTCCAACTTTTTCAAATGATCATTACTTTGCTTTTTGCCTTTCAAGCAGATTCCTTCAATATACTAATTATAATAACTTCTACTGTAAGACAAATTGCACATGCATGATTTGACCCGTACATTCTGGTTCTTCTTTTCTACGTTTAATCTTTAATTATTTATACAATATTTTATAATATAATGTCCCTCATCCACCACATTTATAATAAGAATAAAGACAGTGTTAAACGTATTTATATTCATTAGACACATATGATATAGATATAGAAAAATGAATTTTTATATTTTCTAAAAAAAAATGACGTTAAATAAATAATTATCAAAAGTATCATTTATATTAATTCAGCTCATATTTTTCTCATCTCATCTAATCTTTCTTTTCGAGACACTTCCTTTTTTCATTAACAATTTTAATATTTCACATCATATAATTAAATCTTATAAAATAAGTTTGTAAAGTTTTAAGTTTACTTAATGTGAATCTGTCGTATCTTGTGTTTTATTTTTAGTGAAAGTGAGATCTCCAGTAATATTCTATCTTAATCCTTAATACATACATGTGTGAACATTAAGAATAAGATAAAAGAAAAGGTCCACTGAGAGACAAAAGAGAAACAAAAGGGTTGAAAATTGAAAGAAAAGATTTTGTAACAGTTAAAATCCATTTCACATTGGTAAATTCAAGCCCAAAAAGACTCTCTCTTGAGAGGCTCATGAGGGTCATGGAAGACATTTGAAGAGGAGGAAGAAGATGAAGGAAAGTTAAGATAGTGAGGAAGAGTTTCATAGTTATTGTTTACAGAGAGAAGCAGTGATTTTTGATCTTGGTCTACTTGTGTGGTGATGGTAGGTTCTTGTTGCTGCATCTGAATGCATAGAATCTCAGCTTGAGCCACTGCAAGTTGCATTTGCAACTGTGAAACCTGGTTTTGTAGGTATGATATGGCTCCAACACATCCATACACTGGATCTCTCACTCTTGCGTTTGCCTCGTAAACTAAACTGCTCACAGCATCTGCTCTTTGATGAACACCAAGTTCCTGAAATGAACACATTTAGTGAATACCATTACATAACCATTACATGAAAAAACACATATATCAGGAAGTTAGAAATACCTGCAGCATTTTGCTGACATTGCTAGCACCGAAGACCTTATGCACAATGGCAAACTTGCGAGGGTCATCAGAAGGAAAATAAGGAGCAAAGATGCATTCCTTGGAGCNGGTTGAAAATTGAAAGAAAAGATTTTGTAACAGTTAAAATCCATTTCACATTGGTAAATTCAAGCCCAAAAAGACTCTCTCTTGAGAGGCTCATGAGGGTCATGGAAGACATTTGAAGAGGAGGAAGAAGATGAAGGAAAGTTAAGATAGTGAGGAAGAGTTTCATAGTTATTGTTTACAGAGAGAAGCAGTGATTTTTGATCTTGGTCTACTTGTGTGGTGATGGTAGGTTCTTGTTGCTGCATCTGAATGCATAGAATCTCAGCTTGAGCCACTGCAAGTTGCATTTGCAACTGTGAAACCTGGTTTTGTAGGTATGATATGGCTCCAACACATCCATACACTGGATCTCTCACTCTTGCGTTTGCCTCGTAAACTAAACTGCTCACAGCATCTGCTCTTTGATGAACACCAAGTTCCTGAAATGAACACATTTAGTGAATACCATTACATAACCATTACATGAAAAAACACATATATCAGGAAGTTAGAAATACCTGCAGCATTTTGCTGACATTGCTAGCACCGAAGACCTTATGCACAATGGCAAACTTGCGAGGGTCATCAGAAGGAAAATAAGGAGCAAAGATGCATTCCTTGGAGCAACGACGTCTCAGCAACTTGCAAGAAGCACAAGGTGAGGTACCCCCCATTTTATATATATAGAACACTGACGAAGCAAAACGAAGAGGATGAGATTATGCCTTTGATGTCTTTTTGATGTGTGTGTTGAGAGGAAGAAAAGTAAGCGAAAACACAATGAAGAAAAGGGTTTAAGAGAATGAGCATAGAATTTCTTATTTATAAATGGTGTGTGAGATTTGAATTGCTTGCCTAATGGAGACTAGCTAGATGCACATGCCCTTCTTCTAAAGTATGAATTGAAAATATTAAATTAACTTGCATGCACAATCAACCGCGTAAATCAACAAGTCTCGAGTTTGAGTTTGACTTATATAATTGTGTTAAACATTTGGAGTAAAAAACAAAACATCATCTAGGATATCTTATGTCTCTTGAACATGGTATTAAATGTTTTAAAAAAAGAAACCAAGTTATTTAGAAACCACTTCTTCTAGTGTGAACGTATATAATATGTATTTCATATTGTAAATTACAAGTTTAGTCAAAAATATTTGCAGCATTATAATACATTAAGAGAGCAATGAAGTCAAAGAATGAAGGGAAATTGTTCTAAGAGGTGATGAGTGAGGAAGAAGTAAGAAAATAGGACAAATAGGAGAAGATTAAGTGGTTTGTTGAAACCATAAGTGAAAAAGATTTTGAAAAAAAAAATAAGAGGGTGAAATTAACTTCAAACTTTGTACTTAAAATAAAGAAAATGATGAATGTTGATTGAACAAATAAACTTAAAAATAAAATATATTTTTTTTTGTGTTAGTATTTTAAGGAAAAATAATTTTTTTTGTACTATTTTTACTTATTTGTTTTCTCATTCTATCACTCTATTTTTTATGAGTAATGAATAAAAGATAGATTAGGCGGTGGTCAAACAGTGGGGAAGGCGCGTGATAGGTTGGCAATGCACGCAGTTGTGTAGTATTTACGTTCACATTTGACTCTTCACTTATATATATATGTACTAAAGTACGTACACATAACGTATTTTACACTCGTATGTACTATGTAATCCAGTTGGACAATTTTACATACTTTATTTAAACACCCTGACAGATATTCAATTTTATAAGCATGCATACCATGAAGAAAAAATATTGAGTTAATTCATTAAATAAAATCTATATCTAAGTATATGATATTTATGAAACACATACATTATATCATACATCAATAAAATATTAAAGATAAATAATGTGAGTTATAAAATAGGACATACCGATTAGTTGCTGTGTGTTCGGAGTTATGGAGAATGATAAACATAAGGAGAATGATACTTTGACAATAATTTTTTGACATATTTTAATATCATCTACGTGTCATTATGTGATTGGTCCAAAATTATTACACAATCAATAGTAATCATAAATATCAATATGGACCAATCACAAAATCACACGTAGATGATGTTAAAATGTTGTGAAAATATCATTATCCTAAACATAAATGTTTAATTTGATTTGTAATAATTTATAGATTTTGAGAAATGAGTTTTATGATTTAAAAGTTAGAAGAAAAAAGAAGTATGAATGTAAGTGAAAGTGTTGTTTACTATTAAGAGTTGTGGACATGAATGTTTGTTGGCTCAGCCTTTCACATGCAAACCCTTTTCAATTCTTCTTTTCTCTATGCATATACCAATTGCGTGTTTAAGTTGAATAATGCTAACAAAACAACACATTCAGGGTTCATATTTTTCTTTTCACACTTTTCCCCATGCATTATTAGGTTACGCACATTCATTTTTAACATAATTCAGTAAAATATGAATGATTCTCTTGTTTTCTATTTTTTTTTTTACTAATAACACATATATTAATATGAAGCAATTAGATTGTCCAAACCAGTATATATATATATATATNTCTATATATACATATATATATATATATATATATATATATATATATATATATATATATATATATATATATATATATATATATATATATATATATATATATATATATAAATGTATATATAATTTTATAGTTTTATGGAATTATATTAGATTTAAAATTTATTTTTTAATATAATACCATAATCATTCAAATTTATTAACTACGTATTATTTATAAATATCTAATAATTTTAGATATTAATTAAAGTACTCTTTTTAAAAATATAATAATCAAACCCCTTCAGATCTATATATATGAAAATATCACGATCAAGTTGATATTCATAAACAAAACCGCTTCAACTACGTTTTAACAATATATATTATTGTTAAAAATATTTTGATTTTCTATTAGATTTCTGTTATGATTTGTTGTTATTTGTATTTCTCTTTTATATTCAAATATATTTTATTTTTGTAAATAATTAAATTCTCATATTTTTAATAAAAGATTTCTCTTTAATTTTTTCTCTCTGAGTGTTTCATCAAATACTCACATAGTGTGTATGTATTTGTGAAGAAAGTGGACGAGTTATATTTTAAAAACACAAAATTAATGTTTGCATAGTCGTTAATGCATACGTGGCCATGTTACATTACTCATCTCCATATCAGTACGTAGTTATCGTGACAATATAAATTATAATTACTAATTGACAGATGTAAACAAATTAAATTAGTTAATTAGTGGCATTAATGATCTGACACAGACCAAGGCCTTCTGAATTTTTAGAAAGAGAGGTTGAAATTTAAACTGTACATAGCTGTGAAACCCTAAAACCTGTTCTTTCTCTTTGCATTAAATGCTCTCCACACGAACCCTATCTCAAATATTCTATTTGGAGGAGCAAACTCAATTTCCTCCTTTTGAGTCAATATTTGAATATGGCTTTGTCTTGTACATGAAGTTAATGTTTTGTTCTTAGGAATAATTGTAATTAGTTTATAGATAGGGAAAATAATAGACATGACGATGATGGGGCCATGTGTTGAGGTAAATTCCCTTTTTGTTTTTCAACTTTCAAAACACTAATCAAACTCTTGAAAGTTGTGAAAAAGAAGAAAAAAAAAGAGAAATAAAAACCATGTTTGAACTGAATCTAAAGCTACATTCTTTTATTAATGGTTGCGTGAATTAATGTTACTACTCAAGAGAAGAAAACAAACATCTCTTAGTGTTCTCGAAGAAAACGTGAGACATGCAAGCTCCAAATCTGAGCAATTAATGGTTGCCTTGTGATATGGAAGATTCGATTCTTGAAACCAGTGTGCTCTTCAAAATCTAGAATAGTGGAAGTGGCAAACCAAAGTTGCTAGGTTGGCAAGTGTTGTCGTAATTTGTTGATCTATAATATAAAAGTTTAATTAAAAGAAAAACAAAATCTTATATGCTGTATTTTTTGCAGTTCATGCTATTTTCTTGAGTTTAATTAAAAATATGTGATATATTTAATAAAACATAAATTTCTAAGATAAGGTTTCAAATTTTAATTGAAAAATACTATGAATTAATTCTATTAATTTCAAACAATCAACCATCAATCGAACGCTCAAACTCCAAGACGATAAGCATTTTGAGTCGAACTCTTTTCAACTGACTACATTATTTGGATCAATCTTTTTTGCGTTGAGCTCCTAGATCGAACTCCTCTAGATTGACCATTTTGGATTAAAATCATCTAGGCCAAGCTCATTTGACTAATTCGACATATCACACGTGACCACACACCCTTGGCTTATCACCTTGATTGAACGACCTTGTCAACTGACAGAAAGTCATTAACAAGAATGGAGATCACGAATCAACCTGTTAATTATTGATTGATTGGGTTGTGATTAAGCCGGTAAAGAGATAAAAGCTCATAACAACTACTGTATATTAGGTCTATATGACTTTAACCGATATAAAAAGTGATTATTATTATTATTATTATTATTATATATATATATATATATATATATATATATATATATGATCCATGTTTTTTAAACCTGTTGGGACTTTAACCAGTTTAAAATTTACACTTTGCATACCGTTAGTAAATGAATTGATATAAAAAATCAAAGTTTTTTAATAACTGGTTTGTATGTTCTCCCTATAATATAGTGTTGTCAAAATGAGTTGTAACCTGCGAGCCAACTTGACTCACCACTGGTTTGAGCCGGGCTGGATTGGAAAAAAATGTAATTTTTCTATGTGGGTTAGTTTTCAACTCGGCTCACTTGGGTTGAACCTATGGTGAGCCGGGTTGGCTCACCAACCCACCTAATTTAATTTAATTATTTATTATTTTATATTTCAATATTATTAGTTAACATTTTTTTAGTATATTGTAGATGAGATAAAAAAAGATGTTTCAAGAGAGAAGAATATTATAAACTTATCTATTCAAGACTCTAATATTATAGATGGACAAGTGATACAAAAATTATTAATATTAAAAACTTATTTGTTCGCCTTTTGTTCTTATTTTTTTATTATGCTTGGATTGTATGATATTTTTAATTTTGAATTGCTTTGAAGTTTAACATCATTTTAGAGTGAAATTTTTTAGATTTGCATTAAAAAAAATTATAATTTTTTTATTTAAAAAAGAGAGCTTATAAATAAGTGAGTTAGTGATCAAATCCGTTTAACCCACCAACCCGTGGTGGGTCGAGCCGAGTTCGAACTTTTTTAGCTCGCTAATAAGTGAGCCGAGTTGGGTTGGTTCATTAAGTGACCAACCCGTGGTGGGTCAGGTCGAGTCGAGCCGGGTTACCTGTTTTGACAGCTCTACTATAACATTGTTAAAACATGTAACCAACCCGACTCACATAGGTTGGTCATTTAATGAGTTAACCCAACCCAACCCATTTATTAACAAGCCAAAAAAATTCGAACTTGGCCCACCACAAGTTGGTGGATTAAACATGTTTGTTCACTGACCTATTTAATTACAATTTTTTTCAAATCTAAAAAAAAAAATTACAATTTATTTATAATTCAAATATAAATAAATTACACTATAAAATGATGTTAAACTCCAAAAACAATTCAAAATAAATAAAAAAAGTACCATACAATCCAAATGTAATCCAAAAGCAAGCACAAAAAGCGAACAAATAAGTTTCTAAAATTGATCATTTTTGTGTCACTTATCTAATTATAATATTAGAGTCTTGAATGGATGAATCCATAATATTTTTCTTTCTTGAAACATCTTTTTATTTATCCCCATCTACAACACAATAAAAAAGTTTTAACTAAT